TTGATCTTAACCTATTAGCTTATGCTTTTAAATTCAGTGTTGATTCAACAAAAACAAAAGAGAATAAAGCCAACATTTTCAACTAAATTGCACTTTCATAGCAGCTCTCTTGAATAAATTTTAGTGACTGCATTATCTTGGTACTAAAATGTTTCTCTCCTTTTAGCAATTATGGTTTAAATAACTTTTTGGCGTCCTGGATGAACTTGGATATCCTCCATTTCTTTTTAAGAAACAATATTGTATTTTGTGTGATTTTCCTTGTTTCAATGAAAATATCCTGTTAAAGAAGAGCTCAATTAAGATCTTGAATGACAATAAGCTTTATGAGAATTTTGCTGATGCCATGGTTCTCAAGTAGGTACATGTAATCCATGAGTGGGCCTGGGCAGGCACTCCAAATGAAGGTGCTGCTTGGCTTCGCTTACAGAGAATGGCCGATACTTGGCATCGCATTCTATTGATACCGGTAACTGGAGGTGTTATAGTGGGTATGATGCATGGTTTGCTTGAGATACTCGGCCAAATAAAACAGTCGAGTACTTCCCAGAGGCAAGGATTTGATTTACTCTCTGGAGTTTTTCCTACAGTTAAAGCTATTCAGGCAGCCATCACTTTAGGTACTGGCTGTTCACTGGGTCCTGAAGGACCTAGTGTAGATATTGGGAAATCATGTGCCAATGGATTCTATCTTATGATGGAAAACAACAGTGAAAAGATAAAAATAGCATTTGTTGCGGCTGGTGCAGCTGCTGGAATTGCTTCAGGTATCAATTGTTTTTTGTTCCTGATCTTTCCTTTCACAGATACGTCTGCATGATCAATGGCTAATCTTTTTTGTGACCTTCTTTTAGGCTTTAATGCAGCCGTTGCGGGTAGCTTCTTTGCAATAGAAACTGTATTAAGGCCTTTACGTGCAGAAAATTCACCTCCATTTACGACTGCAATGATCATATTGTCATCTGTTATTTCTTCTACAGTCTCAACTGTTTTACTTGGCACGCAGTCTGCTTTCACAGTACCTGCTTATGATTTAAAATCTGCTGCTGGTATTTTTCACGCTCGCCTTTCATTCGGTCGTTTAAATTATCCAAAATCATCATTCATTTAATTGGCATCATTTTGGGGCATGAATCTATGCATATCATAATCATTGCCATCCTATATTTGTTTCTTTTTTATTGTTGTTGTTATACCTTTAAATTTGATGAGGAACATTACAAGCTTCATTGATACAGAGAGAGGCATTCTTTGAAGTGAAGCTAGATATAAGTTCATGCTTAACAATGTGAGAGATTAAAATCTACTAGGGAAATCGACAATCAATATAGAACGGAGAGGAGATAGGGCTCCACTTCACTAACGCCTCTAGAAGTCCAGAATTTCCCTTTTGGTTTATCATTAATGATGACGAGGAGAAAAAAAGGACACCGGAGACACGAGCCTATAACCGTATGCTCCATTTATTATTGAATCCTTTAGCTTTAAGAACGGTATAAAAAAAGTTCTAATCCACTTTGTGGATAGCTTCCTTAGGATCGAGTGTGATGGCAACCTTTTTCTTTTCTTTTTCCAATCATATATGATTTGTAGGCCAGTTGGACTGAGTGAGGTTGTGGGATAGTATGGCTTTAGCTCTTACAAATTGGACTTTAGCCTAGATCTTATATGCACTTAAAAGGGGTTAGTTGTGGATTGTTTTGGCATCTTTTCTCTTTGGTGTCAGCATATGAATTTTTCGCCGAGGTTAGCATCAATGGTATCAATTTCAAAGAATCTTTGTAGAACTGCCGTGGAACAATTTGACTGTAAAAAGTGTCTGAATCATTAATATACACGCCTACTAATTTTGATTGATTACTGATTACCTCATGTTTCATTGTAGAACTTCCGTTGTACTTGATATTGGGAATGCTATGTGGCGTTGTGAGTGTAGCAGTGACACGTTTAGTTGCTTGGTTCAGTAAATTATTTGATTTCATCAAGGAAAGATTTGGCTTTCCTCCTGTTGTCTGTCCTGCTTTAGGCGGCTTGGGAGCTGGAATAATAGCTCTCAAGTACCCTGGAATCCTTTATTGGGGTTTCACAAACGTTGAAGAAATCCTACATACTGGGAATCGTCCTTCTGCTCCTGGGGTTTGGTTATTAACTCAGATAGCAGCTGCAAAAGTTGTGGCCACTGCTCTGTGCAAGGGTTCTGGGCTCGTAGGTGGTCTTTATGCACCCAGTCTTATGATTGGTGCCGCTGTTGGTGCTGTATTTGGGGGCTCAGCTGTTGAAGTTATTAATGCTGCAATTCCTGGAAATGCAGCTGTTGCACAGCCGCAGGCCTATGCATTGGTAGTTTTCTTTTTCCCTAGTATTTTTCTTGTTAACAGTAGATGATGCACTACTTGTCTCTTTTAGTGGTTACTCCAGGCAATATTTTGTTCAATTCTTTATTATTTGATGCCTTTATACAGGTTGGAATGGCTGCTACACTGGCCTCGGTCTGTTCGGTGCCTTTGACATCGGTTCTACTTCTGTTTGAGCTGACAAAGGATTATAGGATACTCCTTCCACTCATGGCAAGTATCCCCTGATATCTTTAGTACATTCTTACGGAGACAATTTTTTTAAAAAGAAAAAATCTGTAAAGAATAACCATGTCTAGTTGAGAAACTGGATACCACTTTTCCTTGCAGTAAATCAGAGCTCGCCTTAAAATGTCATTGCCCTATGAATTAGTTCTTCCACATATCGATTTAAAATTAGTAACCTTCATATAGTTTGTGGAAATCGAAGGCACTCTTGGAATCCTGGAATTAATGGAGAACCTTCAAGTATTTTGCCCATACTGCTTTTGATAAAAGAAATTATGGTAATTAAGGATGTATGTAATGATGCAGATGTGGGTATGTCTAGGACTAAACTCACTTTCCATAACTTTTTGAATTATTATCTTGAAGGCTTCCATTATGGATATTTGTTTTCGAAATGTCTATTTCTGAACCTCTTGCTCGGTTTCGTCATCATTTTTAATCCAAAATTGGGAGTTCTCTTATTAGAACAATGATAAAAGATTGAATCTGAGCGTGAATTGTAGCTTTTAGTAGTTTCCTTGACAGTTGAGCAGCCGTCACTGCACAATTCAAACGCGGGGAGTGCTGGACATTTTAGAACTCTTTGACATCTTATTCTTACGACATATTTTTGAAGCGTAAACTTCTCAATGAATGGATCTTATTTTCCTTACTGCTGCCAAATCTATGAGCAGGGAGCTGTTGGCTTGGCCATATGGGTTCCTTCAGTTACAAAACAGACCAAGGAAATCGAATCATCTGAAAAGCGGGTTTCAACTAGAGGTTATAGTTCTCTTTCTCCTCCTGGACATAAAGATGGGGCATCTTGGAGGTATGATAGTGGTGATAAGGACTTAGAGCTCTCTGAGGTGGTAACTCCATCTGACCGGGAATCTAACTATGAAGATAATCTTCTCGAAAAACTAAAGGTACCTATTTCTCCATCCGTCCTCCGCCTCCCTCTATCCCTTCGCAGCTTGTTATTGATCCGAATTCTTATACTCGACGTTCCTGCCTTCCAGGTTTCTAAAGCGATGTCAAAGAACTATTTGAAGGTTCCGTTGTCTTTGTACTTGAAAGACGCACTGAAATATATGAAGGATAACCAGCAGAACTGTGCATTAGTGGTTGACAAGGATGATTTACTTGAGGGAATATTGACAAATGGTGACATTAAAAGATATCTCTTCAAGAAGTATGGCGACACTCTGAAGAGTGATTCACTGAGTGTACGTATCGATAATGCCTAGCAATTTTTGTTCCATGCTTTATTTTTAGACCCTGCTGGTTCTTGATCTTGGTTGCATAATCTTAGAAAATGAGATGAATGAAAATCAAGTATCTAGAAAACCGATGTCTATGGATACCTGACCTTTATTTGCTCATTTTGTTAATAATTCCTGCCTTGAGCAAACTCGCTATTATGGCAGGTGGATACCTGTCTAGTGTCCTCTATTTACACTCGAGGGATCAGTTATCGTGGGCGAGAACGAGGAATTTTGACATGTTACCCAGACAATTCTCTGGCAATTGCTAAGGAACTAATGGAGGCGAAGGGTGTCAAGCAGTTGCCCGTCATTAAGCGTGGCAGAGGAAGGAAAAGAAGAATTGTAGCCGTTCTCCACTATGATTCAATTTTTAGCTGTCTCAGGTTCTTATTGAATCTCAAAATATGGTGTTTTATAAATAAATTATCGTTTGCCTTTAAATAATTGGTACTTCCTGGATTTATATTCTCAAAAGGCTCAAGCCACCTGAAATTCCATGCCGATTTATCCTGGGAAGAGAAAAGAAAATGTAACCAATAAAACAGTCTCCAACTTTTTTGGATATTACAAGGTCCTGACTTGATAAAAGGAAGAATGTCTCAAGATTCATGGTTTTTGCATCTGGATTTTTCTTCTAAAAAGATCTTTTTTCTTTTTTTTCTTTTTGTTTCTGTGCAGGGAGTTCGTCAATCACAGAGAGTTCGTCAATCAAAGGGAAAAAGTATATCCTAGTGGAAAAGAGATCGTCGTCAAGGAGAGCGTTGCAGATAGTCATTAAGGAAGTGTGCAACAGATTCAGAGCTAAAGTTCTTCAGCATTCAGAATTAAAGAACAAGCTGAATGTTGAACTATGATCTGTTTTATTCAGAATTCTTCCCGTTGATGACAGAATATCTTTAACCCTCTGGTTGTTCTTCAGCGAAGAGGTAAACTATATGGTGAGTAAATCTGATATATAATAACTTTCCATGTAATTTAGCAAATTGTATTTTACGCAGAAGCAACAAAATCCAAAAGCTGTAACATAATACACAGATTATTTCAGAAGAGTTGGAGAGGTTACTGAGAATTCAGGCTAAGGGATCCATATGGTTTATATTAGGATATCTATGGGCCATGCCTGTTCAAAGGATTCAGTCTCCTTACATTTTAGGTTTCAATGTTAGTTGATTCATTCACCATTCTTTGCATTGGAATATGTACTCTTGATCTGTAAGTTGTGATGGTCAGGTCTAGTGGAATCATTTCAATGAATTAGCTCATTCCCTCCACATGATTTGTTGGGATTGTTTTCTTGGAAATCTTAATGAAGCAATGTATTCTCCCCTACCCCTTTTCATATCGAAACACTTCATTGTCGTAGCCCCGCCCAACTGCTTCCTGTCTTTGAATATCGATAGTCCAACGACTTGAAATAATGTTTTGGGTTAGTCTACCCCAATGGTTTTTGTATTTGAGAGCAGCCCCTTCTGTCAAAAAGTAGAACATTGTAATGAAGCTCTAGAACTGTTGCTTGTTAGGGATGTAAGAATTCAATTTTTTGTAAGGAAATACGAAATAATATAGTCAACAGATTTCGCATCATAAACCAACTGTTTTAACTGAATTATGTTTCATCGACTGATTTGATCAGCTAAACCAAAAGCAGAAGAGAGAAATAACTTTGAAAAGATTTTACTGATGGAACGGTCATATATGTGTATTCATATATAATGACTGTGTGTAGAGTAAGGACTTTTACTTTCCTAGTGAACAAATATTGGGGGGAAAAGGTAAAATAAGAACTCACATCTCAGGTCCAAGTGGAAGCCTACTCATAATTTGCTGATACACGGTTGAACCATGGGAAAAGTTCAAGCCAAGGTCAGATGTAGGTTCTACATTGGGCTCTCCTTTTGGCAACAAGAAACCCATGTCATTAACATGGTGTGCTTGTGCTAAGTATGGATGCATTGGCAGAACAGGAAGCTTGGCTTGGCCAACGGCTGCCATTGTCAGATTTCTCAGTCCAGGTGGGTTCATTCCAAAAGAGAACCCATGGGCACTGCCCATCTGCTGTCTTCCAGGAAGGCTAAACACTGGCCTTTCAAATCTTGGAATGGTGTTCTGAGGCTGGGGTGGCCCCGGTCTGTGAATATGAGTTTGAGTCGTTGCGGTCGAGTTTTGTGTGGTTACTGGACTGGATGTACTAGAACTGATGTGGCTGCTGTTGCGAGCAGCAGGAACATCATGATTGTGCTTTCCTTCGTATGTCGTGATCACAGACTTCAGGTCATGTGATGCCCGCTCGACATGCTTCCTCACTGTGCAGCCAGGATTTGTGCACTTGTAGTAACTCCTGTACACAAGCAGTTGGTACACACCATCACAAACTTGTCAACAAATACACCTGGTGACAGGATGATACCACACACAAACATGGAAATTTGATGTACCTAGGATTTGGATTTCCTTTTACAACCTTCTGCCCGTATTTGCGCCAGCGATAGCCATCGTCCAGAATATCTACTTCACTGGTAGTCTGCACGACAACTCTAGGCTCACGGATAGCTCTAGTGGCCCCGCTCATTTCCGTTACATAAGCGTCAAGTTTCCTGATATATCAAAGCAAACCAAGTTAATTTCATGGTTTTTCCTAAATCCTATCAGTTAGATACTTTCATAAAATAAGATAGTAATGTGAAGAACCTTTTCTTAGACTCAGACTCATCTCCTTCCCCCTCATATCCCAATGTTACACTGCCATGGGTGCCCCTATCATCTTCATCTTCATCATTAGAGAATGTGGATGAGGCATCAATGGCTTCAACTGTTTCAACATGACTGCCATTTTGAGCCTGTGAAGTATTAGGCTGATTGCCATATTCAGGACCCAAGGATGCTGAAGAAGTCACCTCAAGGTTCTCATGCATCCAATCAGGAGCTCCATTTGGAATCCGTTTTTGTGAATCTCCCCAAAGGAGACCTTCAGCAGTCTGTTGGCCACCTTGTGCAGAAATGTCTAGTTGCATATTGATATGGGAATCCGAAGGTCCGGTCGCTGCTCGTCGATAGGGCGAGGGCTTTGGGTGATTATGTGTTCCTTTATAGATGATCTCTGTTATATGACCCTCATTAGATCGCTCGACTTTTTTCTTGACCTGACAGTTTGGATGCGTGCACTTATAATAACTACGAGGGTACTCGCTTCCTTTAACCTGTTTTTGTCCATATTTTCTCCAGTTATATCCATCCTCCGAGGGGGCGCCACTACCACCACCAGCCATGGAATCCCCACTGCCTCTTTGCTCCCCTTCATCCGGTTGCTCATCGAGTGGTGAAGAATGTTCACCACCACCACACAAAGAATCAAAGGTTCTTTGATCATCTGACACGGTCTTACCCACATCATCTCTCTCGACGCATGACGTAGAGAGTCCCACTTGCGGATGATGACTGATTCTGTTTTGAGGTAAAGACAGAGATGGTTCTACAATATGAGATTGAAAAGAATTTTCTGAACGTGGAACTGAAACCTCAATTCTCGGACAAGATTGTGGAAGAACAGTGGCAGAATCTGTCTACAACCATATATTGGAGGGCAAAAAGATTAGCAAACAAAATCAATGTGCAGTCTCTTGGTGTATATGCATCTTATAAATTGGCAACAATGGAAGGTGAAATTACTTTGCTTGCTGCACCGAGATAAAAGAACGATCCAGATTCCACACCAGAACTGAATGCAAACGATGTACTGTTATTGTTGAATGGATTGACGCTGCCTTTATCGTCGCCCTCCGACATCATCATTGAGCTCCGATTACTAACATTCGGCAAGAACGGGAACTTTCCAGTTGTGGGAGATTGCTGAGCCTGCAGTAAGACATATGGAGGAAGAAAAACTTAATGATGAACAGGTCAAGATTATGAATGTTCTTGAGGTCTATTTACAAATCAAGAACAGAATTTAATATCAACCAACTAGAAGACTTAGCATCTGAATTCAGCTTTTACCAGTGAATTAGAAAGAAAAACAGGTGAATCTAGCAATGTAGTAGGACTGAGACCAGGCGGTATTGTCAAGTAAGGAGACTTGGCATCTGAATCCAGAGATTGATCAGTGGATCTAATACTCTCTGTATTCAATCTTGGAGCATTAAATCCAGCTCTGGCAGCAATCCTTTCGACAAGACCCCCACAGAATTTCTGCCCCGAAAACGAACTTAAATCCATCGACCGATCACCAGAATTGGCACTTGGGATCCCGCCTCTTGCAACGGTGTTGTTCGATACCGGATGTTCTCGAGGCCTTTGAAATAGCTCTTCAGTTTTATCAATGGTGATAGTATCCATTGCAGGTCTAGAACCAACATCCTCCCCTAGCATTGCTGAGAAGAAGGCTCGTGTACTGGGACTTGGAGGCACCCAATCCCCAATTATAGCAACGTTATCATCAGTCCTCCCCATTACTACTGGATTGCTCGGTTAATATAAACTCGAAAACCTCGCAGAAATGTTGAGAAATCCTGAAGGGAAACAATGCAATGAATCATATAACAATCCATATAATGTAATCTTGATTGCAACAGAAAATGGATTGGAAGCTGGAATGAGCATGCATGAACAATCCCACCTCCCAAACAAGACAGAGCCATGAACAAGCATTTTCATTCTTGTAATTTTCACATCTTAATCGTCTTTACGACCATATATGATTTTCGATTCTGTAACCTAATAATCAAACCCTAACATGAAACTTAACAACAACAAAAAAACATGTAATAAATCCTCTAAAACAGTGTCGGATCCGAAGATCGCGCGAAGATCTAAGCATTTCGCATTGAGGCCAACAAAACAAAGTTTCAGAAACAGAACAGAATCAAAACCAGAGAGACAAAATTGAAGAAACTTACAAGAAACACAAAAGAATATAGAGCTGAGTGATTACCTGAGTGATTCGGAGGCCGAAAAAGAATCAAATAAGAGAAGAACAAGAAAAAACGGGTTAGCGGCAAAATCCCAGAAGCAGAATCGGAGTTCAAAACTGGGTAGAAATTAAGATCCGAAAACATTATGAATCATTTTGATTATCGTGATTGAAGGAAAACGAAAGAGATAGGGAAGAAGGGGGGAAAAAACAGGCACCCCAACGCCTTCTTCGCTGGCTCCTTTTGTCTCTCAAATTCCCTTGAAAAAGCTCTGGTCAAAACCCAATGATCAAACAATGGCCACACCAACAAAATTACAAGAAAGATAAGCTTTCACTGTTGCAATAACCAGAAGGAAGAAAATGGGCGAGAGCCTTTGAAGAACAACAAAAGCTCAAAAGCTGAGGAGATGGAGGAAATGGATGGAATCTTTGAATTCCAAGGAACAAAAGCAAAAAAGTGAAAATAAAATTTTGAATTTTAAAAATAATTATTTAATTTCCAAAGCTTCTTTTTTAGATTTTACAGAGTATTATTGTCTCCCAATCAATAATAACCATTTTTTGTTTTTTTTTTCTTTCTAATTTTGAAAAATCTATCATTAAAAAAAATAGTTGTTATTACAATAATTAGAATTATTTTAAAGAATAGACAATAATAGAATTGATTTGGTGCCTTAAAATCAGCAATAATATTCAATATAATGTAATAGATCTTATAGGTTACCCAACCTTTGTTACATATTTATATGAATTTTTTTAAACAAATTTATAAAACCGATAACAAGGCAAATTCGGTTTATGTGAACCGAGAATGAGAATTTTCGATACTCGTATCTTTTTTTAATTCTTGTAAAAAAATTAAAATAATTATTTATGTCATTTTTTTTATTGAATTCACAGGACAATTGAAAATGAGAATTTTCCATTTTTCGTGTCCATATAATTAATAAATCAAACATTTTTTTTAGAAATCAAATTTCTTAATTTATTTTAAAATATATTAAATTAATTATGATTTTTTTTTGGGAGTGTAAAGGAAAAAAGAAATTAATTCTTAATTTAGCTAATATTTAATTACAACCATAATAAGTAAAAGGGCTTTTTTTTTTAATCTTTTAAGAAATTAAGTTTATAATGTTTAATAATAAAAAAATAATACTGTTAACAAAAATATGGCAATGATTGAATTGATTTTTTTTAATATAAAAAAAACTTTTGAAATTACGATTTTACTTGTTTTTTGTTTTTTTTTAATATGATGATTTTTTATTTGAATATAAAAATTGGAAATAAGAAATCAACTAATACTGAAATGATATAAATGTTATTGGAATTAAATTATTTTTAAAATTATAGATTAATATAAATCAAAAATCATAAACCTATAATGTATTTGAATTAAAAATTTTATGAAATAATTGAGGTTTATAATATTTTATAAAAAATATATAATATTATTAAAAATAACAAACATAATTATGATTGGATTGGATTTTAAATAAAAAGAAAAATACTTTTGGAAGTACAATTTTACTTCTTTCTTGTTAATATGATGATTTTTTAAAATTCAAATATAAAGAAATTGAATATAAGAACTCAACTCAATAAAAATCATAAATAAATTACAATTCAATCGGACATACTTTCATCCAAATATTAACGGCAAAATCATTAACGTTTGATTATGAACAAAGACTAACTAACATTATGAACGTTTCATGTCTTTTATATTCATAAACGTCATAAAAGTAGTACATATTAAATATAATTATAAGATTTTATATCTTGAATTTCTATGCATTATATTGTATAAAATGATATTAATATAATATGTATATTCATAAATATATTATATACGCGTCATTATTTACATAATATTTATTACTTTGTATGTAACGGGTACGAGTATTCGCATTTTGTTGGAGGAATGGACTTTTCATCCACCGTCGAAGCATTGAAACCATTTTAATTTCTAAAAGAAAACAATAAACACGAGAGCAAGAACTACTCCGTAGAAACCGTAACGTTTTTTTGAAATATTCCAACGACTTAGAATTTCTTTATCTTCATTATTATGACCCGAATACAAGGTAAAGATTTGTGGGATTTTTGCTCAACATACAAAACTATATAATATTTAAAATAATTTACAAAATCAATAAATTTTGAAATTCAATTAAATTTAATTCCGAGCTTCAAAAATAAAATTGACTCAATTTACTAATTACAATAATTAAAGAAAAGCAAAGTAAATAATTAATTTTATAATGTTTCTTTTTTCTAAAATGGTTTTGTCGATTTAGAAAAATAATAATAATTCTCTAAATAAAATATGGCGGGTTTATTTTATATGTTTGTCCGGTCGGCAAGACGGACAGAACCGGTCAAAAAAGGGATTTGCAATTCAGACCAGGCCTTTGTCCTTTTTCTTGCTAACGTCACGAACTGTCACCAATCTTGTGTGATTAGCCACATGGAAACGTGCCACGTGGAAAAGCCTACGCGTGGTGTTCACCTAACAGTCACCCACGCTCCCTCACCTGTGCTGCATTATTTACCAACCACTGCCACAAGCTACTCAAATTTTGCCACTGCTTTATTATTATTGCACGCTTTCTTCATGCTTTATTATTATTATTATTTAATTAAAATAATATTTTTGTACTTAATTTTCATTTTTTTTAATGTTTTTTTAATAATAATTTTCAAATTTTATATAATCAAAGTTAATAGAGACTTTTGAGAAAAAAATTGTGTAGAAATTAATTTTAATATATCCACCGTCAATGGCACCAACTAAATATAAATATTATTTATTCATATGAAATTTAATGGACATTTTGTAACGGCTCAGATCCACCGTGAGTAGATATGGTTCTCTTTGGACTTTCCTTTTTGGGCTTCCTCTCAAAGCTTTAAAACACATCTGCTAGGGGAAGGTTTCTGCACTCTTAAAAATGGTGGTTTGTTCTCGTCCCCAGTCAATGTGGGATATCACACATTTTATTAGAGACATTCTAAACAAAACCTTCAACCAAACGACTCAAGTGTGGATAATGTGGATAATGATTTCCTCTTACAAGCATGTTTTTTAACGACCTAAAAATGAAATCGTAATCAAATCATAACGTTAATTTGTAACGACCTCGGAATAATGGAATAATAGAAAGTACATTGAATATTACAACTATGAAAGAGTTCTCATGACTCAATCCAATACACTTTGGAAGAAGCTTAAAAAACAAGCAATGATGCTATGAATGAGGTATCTATTCAACAGACAACTCAAATTTGGACACCAAAATGCCATCACTATCTGCATACAGCCACTCTCCTTCATGAATCAAAGTCCCACCAATATGAACAGGCACATGCTTCTCTCCCAACCCTTTCTTGTTCGACTTCAATGGATTAGTCCCCAATGCTCTCACGCCAACATCACAGTTGTTGATCTCATCAACATCTCTTATGCAGCCATTTACAACAACACCAGCCCACCCCATGCTTTGAGCCACCTGCCCAAGATTGCCTCCCAACAATGCACATCTCCTGCTTCCATTCCCATCAATCACCAGAACCCTCCCCTCACCTTGGCTTTCAAGAAGTTGTCTTACCAGAACATTGTCTTCGAACACCTTCACTGTCACTATCGGTCCTGAGAACGCTCGTCGTTGCCCGTAAACCTTGAATTTTTGTTGTAGTACTCGGAGATCTCCGCTTGTGACATGTGCTGCATTTGCATCACATATATCTGCTGTTGCTGGAGCTGCCATGCTTTCCACTGCAAGCAAGGATATGTCAACAGTTGGCATTAGTTTTGAAGTAACTTCGAGAGAAATATTAGAAAATGAAGATGTGAGATCCCACGTCGGTTGGAGAAGGGAATGAAACATTCTTTGTAGGGGTGTGGGAACCTCTCTCTAGCTGCATTTTTTAAATCTTGAGGGAAAGCCCAAAGAGGACAATATCTACTAGCGGTGGGCTTGAGCTGTTACAAATGGTATCAAAACCAGACATTGGGTGGTGTGTCAGCGAGAATGCTGAATCCCAAAGGGGGGTGCACACCGGATGGTGTGCGAGGGAGGACGTTCGGCCCCGAGGAGGATGGATTGTAAGATCCCACATTGGTTGGAGAAGGGAACGAAAACGAGTGCCAGCAAGGACGCTGCACCTCGAAGGGAGGTGGATTGTAAGATCCCACATCGGTCGGAGAGAGGAAACATTTTTATAAGTGTGTGGAAACTTCTCTCTAGTAGACTCGTTTTAAAAACCTTGAAAAGAATCACGAAAGGAAATGCCTAAAGAGGACAATATCGACTAGCAGTAGGCTTGGACTCTTATGGAAGATATCCCATCGAAGACGGAGAAAAAATAGGTTAGTTAATAATAGCCTGATGAAAGTAGATCAATACATGTACATATAGACTAATGTTTGAAGTGTAGAGAGAACGATTAAGAAAAAAGTTCAAAGATAAAAGAGTAAATTAGTGTTCTCTGTAAATAACTTAAAAGCTAAAGGCGTGACTCAAACATATGCTCTCGATTACGAGGTAGTCCTTACTTACCAATCGAGATTGGTCTCTATTCCAAAATAAAACCTTAGCGTTTAAAAAGTCATGGCCGAGATGAAAGAACCATAGAAGTTCATGAATCAAACTATAAGATCTAAACCATTTAACAAACTATAGATGATCTAAACCATTTAACAAACTATAGTTGGTCTAAACATCTCAAAAGTTGTTATCTAACAGTGGTTTGATATAGTATCAGAACAGAGATAAACGAACTTCATATTGTTTCATACACTGCTTAGTTGTGATCAAACACCTGATGGGCAGACAAGAAAGAGCTTCAGCATTACTTCATACGGATAGTACAAATGAAACCATGATTTAAGCTATATTTTTCAAGCCACAGCATCTTGAAACTCTAGTTTACACTGACAAATTTTCTCCTATCCAATGGAAAACGACTAAATATTTCCTCTAATGAAGAACAAGTTTGCAATAAAGGCGTATAGATGATTAGAACAAAGCATCTCCCAGTACAAACAGCAACAATCGCAGAAGTAAATCCTCATAGTACACATGATAAAGTTAGATCAACTAAACTTGGAAGAAAAGCTTGATTTGCAAGTTCAGAACATCATGGACTTGGTTGAAATTCAGCAATATCCCATTTAGAAGAAAGATGAAGAGATATAATGATGGAGGAAACTCACCCAATTGAAAACCTTGTTCTTCTGTGGAAAGCTAAGGCCCGAAACCGTCCAATTGAACAATCAAACATGGAGGGCGAGTCAATTTAACGCACCCCATGGCGTAGAATTTTAGAAATGGTAGGAATTGGAAAGCTTATCCAGATGATCGAATAAGCGATAGTGTTGGTTCCTGTGCCCTGACAGCAATGATCATCAATGGCGCCTTTGGGCTTGTAAAAGTCACGGCTTTGTGATTGTTTTTGGACTGATGAGGCCGTTTCCATTTGAAGAAGGCTTCGATTTTATGGGCTGGGGAAGACAGCTGATTTCATAGTGTAATCAGTCCATTTGGTTTCAGCCCTAATTTGAAAAATTAATATAAATAATTTAAAAGTTTAAATGTTAGTTTATATTTTACCATTTTACAAGTTGAGTCGCCTGGAGTTCTCCGCTCTCTCTCTCTCTCTCTCCATGGCAAGGCATTCCAGAACCTCACCTCCTTCTCGAAGGCTCTCGAAGCAATCCATTTTCTGTACCTTGTAGAGACGAAGCGAGTTGGTCTTCGGGTCTATTGTATTTCAAAGGTTTGGTTTCTCTAATTTCTGTCTGCTTATTCGAATTGATAGATTCCCGTTATTTCATTATTGAAAAATTATGGCGTTGTTTGTGTTGGTGGTTGTGGAGATTGTAAGTTCTTGTGTTGAAGCGCTCCTCTCCTCATTTACTTCATATTGTCCTGCATCGGATGGATTAATCTAGTTTTTGTGTTTGTACTTCAAAATCAATGGAAGTTGGTTTCTATATGAATTTGGAGTCATTGGTTGATTGTTTAAGAATTTCCGCGTGACCTTAGGGATCTAACCTTTGAAGATGCTTTTGGTTTTACATCAGAATAGATTTCAGATTATCTTTTGGGATTTTCTTATGGATGTTTATGAAGGGGAAATCAACTGGGGCGGGAGTTCTCCCTGTAAAATTTGGCTGGGAATCTAATTGATCTAAGTAGGGAATTTCTTGGTATGGGGAATGCTTTAGGGCAAAGGGAGGGGACGAGGAAGTCATAGCTATCATTTAATTTCTTATCCTCCTCGAAGACTATGTCTCAATCACGACTCATCTATGAAAATGCAGTAGTGCATTTGAGGGTTTTATGCTCAGTTAAATTGAAACCAAACTAAACTCATGAATGGACTTAACTTTGGTTTGGTTATATGCCTATTGCTTAGGATCACCATGGATTGACCTAGTGGTCAATAAGAGATCTTGTAAATTATAAAGAACTTAGAGGAAGTAGATGTAAATAGCAAGGGAATAGGTGCAAATAGTAAAAGACATAGAGAATAGGTTCAAGACATGGCGGCCAACGACCTAAGGGTTTAATATCCTACGAGTCACCTTGGTAACAAAATCTAAATGTAGTAGCATTAGACAGGCATTCCGTGAGAATGGTTTAGGTGCATGCGAGTTACAAAAAAAAACTCAATGTTCAATTTTAATGGGACTTCAGTTGCTTTCAGTTCAACATAACTGAATCATACCAATAAGCACATTGCATTCTGGAAAATTTTATGGACTTCTGTTCTTTAAAGGGCATAAAAAAGAGCCCACCAAATCCATAGAAATTTGAAAGGTGTAGTTCACTGAGCAATACATATGGTTTAGAGATATAAATGTTTTTATGCTTTATCATTTTATTCCTATCGTCACGTTCTTAATACATGCAGTCTTATGGGTTGCAACATGTAATCAGAAAATTCAATTATTCTCATTTTATTGGTGCTTTCATCTCAGAAATTCTTGTTTACAGTGTCAGGTTATCATCCACCTTCGTAGATGGAGATGCTTACTACAACTTCTGGTGCCATGCTTTCTCTTCTACCCCCAGGTACAAGCAACTTTCCAAATTGTTTTACTTATTTGATGTAAGTGGAAATGAATGGATTTTAATTACCATAAAAAAGGATGAGTACAAGAGAGAAAAAAAAAATGGATAAGGGATATCCCCTACATCAGAAAGGAACTTGTAAGAATCAACCCATATCTAATTTGATTCCAGGAGCTAGATAATTTAGAATTCCTATTATAGTACTCCAACATGAGGTGTGCTGTAGTGTGTACAATTCAAGAAATTGACCGAAGTTCTAACGATACATTGAAGGATTCTGTTGTTCTTTTCAATCTAAAGTTGCATATAATGGTTTTGGAAGGATTTCCTAGAAGAAATCTACCTTTTTCAGCCACCAGCCCTCAAAAACTTCTGAAATCAGATATCTCACATCCTTCAGGAAGCTCCAAGAATCCTAAATTTGACATGATTAGATGTTATATGCTCTCATACTAATATCTACCTTGGGTTATTAAGTTTGGAAACTTAATTTTGCTGGTATAGATCCACTCAAGCAATCTGATTGTTGAGATAACATTTCTCAGGCTAAGAAATGAAACTAATTAGCTTATGTTTTGAATTTGAAGATCATTATGTTTACATTGGTTTTCTTATTCAGTTAAAAAGTGGATTCTCGTTTAAATTATTGTTCTATTACGATTTGGGGAGAAAAGAAAAAAAAAATTATTCTATTACCATTAATGTGACAACTTTTTGATATTTAGTTGTAATATTGTTATTGTAAAACAGTGGGTCAGCATTGGGGAAGAATGAAGGCCATAAACTTCCATCTTAGTGGGGATAGTTTCCAAGTTCGAACTTCTAATGGGAGGAGACAACCAGTGATTGCTAAAGCAGGACCACTTTATGTCAAACCGATTCTATCTACTGGGAAAAGGGGAGGTGTTCTATATTCAAGTAGAAAGAACAACGCTTTCATATGTTTTGCTGCTTTGGTAAGTTGTTTCTTGGTCTATATGTGTACTTTTGTTAGATGAACACGACCCTTCACAATGGTATGATATCGTCCACTTTGAGCAGAAGCTCTCATGGCTTTGTTGTGGGCTTCCCCAAAAGAAAAGCAACGTACCAATGGAAATAATATTCTTTGATTATAAACCCATGATCATTCTCCCTAAATTAGCCGATAAGGACTTTCATCCAACACCTCCCCTCAAACAAAGTACGTCTTCCCTTAATCGAGGCTCGACTTCTTTTTTCTTTTGGAGTCTTAGTCATTTTTTACTATGCCTTGGACTTTTTCTTTTGGAGTTCTTTGTTCGACATTTGAGGATTCTATTGGCATGACTAAGTTTAAAGGCATGGCTCTGATACCATGTTAAATGAACACGACTCTCTACAATGATATGATATTGTCTACTTTGAGCATAAGCTCTCATGGCTTTGCATTGGGCTTCCCCAAAAGGCCTCATACCAATGGAGACCAATGGAGATAGTATTCTTTGATTATAAACCCATCATCATTCCCTAAATTAGCTGATGTGGGACTTCCCGTGTTTATTTTCTTTTGGTATTTAATTGGTAATAACTTTTTTTTTATTAGAAACATTATGTTAGTAGCACGGAATGTGTGTAGATGCCAAGGGAGATTATCAGAAGTTCTCCCAACTTGTTGAAATGAGTTGGGGCATTTCTCTGGGAAGGAATCATCAAAATTTTAGTGGGGGTGAGAGATATACGGAAGAGTTGTGATAGGTTATTAATGGTGCTGTTTGTCTGCAGAATGCTAGATGTGCGGCGGAGCAGACCCAAACTGTTACAAGAGAGGCTCCTACAATCACTGTTCTTCCTGGTAATGCAGATTTTATGAATAATAGTTACTGCTAACATCAATCTTCCTAGCACTAAGTTGCATATGCACATATTTTTCCATTCAACTTGGACGCCTATCTTTTACACCTTGAAAATAACTTGCATCACTAGGTTCTTAACATTTTGTTGTCTCCCTCGCATACATGATGTTGTCGTAGGCTATCATAATTATGGCTGTTGCTTACCTTTATTTTTAAACCATACATTGAATTACCTAAAACTAAAATTGCAGGCAAGGAGAAGTCACCGCAACTGGATGATGGTGATTCTGGGTTTCCACCTCGTGATGATGGTGATGGCGGCGGCGGTGGCGGTGGAGGGGGTGGCAACTGGTCTGGTGGATTCTTCTTCTTTGGCTTCCTTGCTTTCCTAGGCTTCTTAAAAGATAAAGAAAGCGAAGAACCTTATCAGAATGACCGGAGAAGATAAACATACTTCGATCAAATATAAAATTTTTTATTCTAGATTCATACTTAAATACAATCTGAAGGTTAATGTTTGCTTCTAGTCATGTAGTCTCCATAAAATTAGTGTCATTCCCTATTGACTGGAGTAATAGCCTAACCCATGCTGTTCTGAAATCCCAAGTATAAGGAACTATTGAACTATTGAGATTGATTCTTGTTCCAATGTGTTTGTCTCGGTTGTTGGTGAAGAAACCAACTCGAACTAAACTCAAATCATGTAAACGGAGAAGCAAACCAGTTATTAATAGAAAGAAAATTGAAAGTTCATGAATATTTTAAAACGTGGTATTAATGATTTCATCTATATATTAACGGTAATGTGTCGTGCTTAAAATACAAGAGTTCAGTGAGGAAACAAACTAGAAACAACTCTGAGGGTGAAAATTCAAGATTTGCTCCTATAAGGAATGGCCTACATACATCATTTACAATTGTGCAAACTGTGATCGACTTACGTGAGATATCCAAGAGTCGTGTTCTTTAAGAGAGATGGATGTGGCATAACAAGGTTTCTCCACTCATCCTTGTCAATCCTTTCCCTCAAGTTTTGTATTAGCTTCCTCAACTGTCTGATAAAAAAAAATTAATAACTCAATTTCTCCACTCTTCCTTATCAATCCTTTCCCTCAAGGTTTGTATCAGCTTTCTCAACTATCTGAAAAAAATATTAATAACTTAATGAACATCAGAGAACTGAATGGAAACATTCAATAATGATAACAAGTATGTAATAGCTACTACCATTTGCTTCACCTATGCATCTCAAAAATAATCTACCGTCGTAAATTATAGGAAAGAAACTGAAATCTTTCTTAACACCTTGCTGCTTAAGATCGTACAATTGAAAAGAAACTGAAAACATGGCATTATATGAACATAATTAGAGACACAAGAGTTCCAATCATAGTATAAATGCAACTTCACCATATGTTTTATACGTTTATCTCTTTCCCTTTACATAAGGTACATTCAATTTTACAAGGATCAATATATATATATTTCTCTTTCCCTTTACATAAGGTACATTCAATTTTACAAGGATCAATATATATATATTGCTATGAAGAAAAAGAAAAGTTTTGCCAAAGCCACAAATCAAAGCATCCCTATCCAATGGCAGAAAGAGATGCACATACCTTGTTGATCAGACCATCATCAATCACGGCGCTGCTTGTCTTCTTGAAAAGCTCATATAGTGCTTCTATTTCACTTACACTGACAGCATATCATGGAAAACTAGCATCATTTAACAAAGTTCAGAGGTACACAATCCACAAAGAAGAAAAGAGAATTAAAAGCACACAGTCTCCCTGGCTAGAAGTTCAGGATCGTCAAGACCCTTGATTGCTTATACAAGTCAAGATCACAACATCTTAGTAGGGAAGTAAAAAAAATCCTTCAATGAACTGCAACATGATATCGCTTGAAATATGAAGGTGACGAATAGTGAGAGAGAGAGAGAGAGAGAGAGAGAGAGAGAGAGGCTGAGAGACTGCAAGACGTTCATATAATAAGACGTATATAACAACCGACGTCGTTAATGGATTCTCATATTTAAGGAAACGCACACTTGATGCATTTCGAGTGAAATATGATACCCAACCCAATGTAATCAGAAATAAAACAAATCTTCTAACATATAAGATTGGAAACAAAACATACTCATTCGAATACCCTTCCCCTTCGATGATCCATCATCCTCTACTAATACAAACACTTAAAAATCAATCAACTTCCTCCATCTTGCTACCCTCTGCGTCTGCATCAGCGTCCTCAAGAGGCGGCATCTCCGCATCACCTTCTGCACCGTCCTCCTCATCAATGCTCAGTCCCAGCTTCAACATCCTGTGGATCCTGTTCCCGAAGGTGTTGGGTTCATCCAGGCTGAACCCTGATGTCAGAAGTGCAGTCTCGAAAAGGAGCAGCACAAGGTCCTTCACCGATTTGTCGTTCTTGTCTGCATCCGCCCTCTTCCTTAGCTCTTCCATGATTGGGTTCTCCGGGTTGATTTCCATGGTCTTCTTGCTCGACATGTACCCAGCCATGCTGTTGTCCTTCAATGCCTGAGCCTTCATGATTCTTTCCATGTTGGCTGTCCATCCGTATTCACCGGTCACCAAACAGCAAGGAGAATCAACAACACGGTCGGAAACCACAACCTTCTCCACCTTGTCCCCCAAAACATCCTTGATCACCTTGCAAAGACCCTCGAACTTCTCCTTCAAAGCTTCCTTTTTCTTCTTTTCATCTTCACTCTCATCCAGTTTCAGACCTTCCTTTGTTGCTGATACAAGTTTCTTGCCTTCGTATTCCTTTAGTTGACCAACTGCATACTCATCAATTGCATCAACCATGAACAGAACTTCGTACCCTTTCTTCTTGAGCTTCTCAAGGAAAGGAGAGTTCTCTACAGCTTTCTTGCTTTCACCAGTGATGTAAAAGATGTCGCTCTGTCCTTCCTTCATTCTCGTCACGTAGTCCTTGAGGCTGGTCAACTCATCACCACTTTTGGTGGAGTGGAAACGGAGAAGTTCAGCGATCTTAGGTCTGTTCTGAGAGTCCTCGTGGATTCCAAGCTTCAAGTTCTTGGAGAAGGCCTCGTAGAACTTGTTGTAGTCTTCCTTGTTCTCAGCAATCTCAAAGAAGAGCTCGAGGCACTTCTTCACCAAGTTCTTGCGGATGACCTTCAAGATCTTGTTCTGCTGCAACATTTCTCTGGAAATGTTGAGGGGAAGATCTTCAGAATCAACAATGCCCTTAACGAACCCAAGATATTCAGGAATCAACTCCTCACAGTTGTCCATGATAAACACACGTCTAACGTACAACTTGATGTTGTTTGGCTTCTTCTTTGTGTCAAAGAGATCAAAAGGAGCCCTCTTGGGAACGAAGAGGACAGCCTTGAATTCCAATTGACCTTCGACAGAGAAGTGCTTCACAGCAAGGTGCTCTTCCCAGTCGTTGGTAAGGCTCTTGTAGAAAGCAGCATACTCTTCCTTGGTAATCTCTTCTGGCTTCCTCATCCAGATAGGCTTCTGTTTGTTCACCAAGGACCACTCGTTTGAAACTTCCTTGATCTTCTTCTTCTTCTTCTCTTCCTTCTCCTTCTCTTCGTCAACTTCCTCAACCTTGCCTTCCTCATCCTTCTTTTCCTCATCATCCTCATCATCAGAGATCTCCTTCTCAATGGTCTTCTCAACCCAGAGAGAAATTGGGTAGCTGATAAACTCGGAGTGCTTCTTGATCAAGTCCTTGAGACGGCGTTCCTCAAGATATTCAAGTTGATCTTCCTTGAGATACAGGGTAATTTTCGTACCTCGCCCAAGATTCTCACCAGAGGTGTCCCTGGTGACTGTGAATGAACCCCCAGCCTGGGACTCCCATACGTACTGCTCATCATCATTGTGCTTGGTGGTAACAATAACCTTCTCAGCTACAAGGTAGGCCGAGTAGAAACCAACTCCGAACTGTCCAATCATGCTCACATCAGCACCAGCTGCAAGGGCTTCCATGAATTCCTTGGTCCCAGATCTTGCAATGGTTCCAAGATTGTTCACCAAATCTGATAAAATCAACATGTTTGAGAATTGAGTTGTACGTATGATGTTAGACTAATGGACAATCATAAACAAAGTAGCAGCAATCACTCACCAGCCTTGGTCATTCCAATACCACTGTCAATAATCGTCAAGGAATTGTTTGCCTTGTCAGGAATGATGTGGATGAATAGTTCAGGCTGGGCATCAAGCTTGCTCTTGTCGGTCAAGCTCTCAAACCTGATTTTATCTAGAGCCTGAAACAATGTTCCACATTATAAGTTCAAAACATCAAATTCATGGAAACTCATATCTTCATCATCCCAGAAAGTACACATTCATAATCAGAACTCCACAAAAGTTAAATCCATACAACCACCTAGAAAGATCTAAACTGTGAATTCACTAGACAATGAGAAAGATCCTTGCGATAGTAACATCATGATGCAGATTAAATCTAGAAAATCAAGAAACAACCAATTCAAGAACGAACAACAAGATGAAATCACATTTCTCATAATTCCCTCACTAATCTACAAAACTAAAGCCAGAAACGACCAATCCAAATCGAAACCTAGCAAGTTCGCGTCAGGAAAATTAAAAGAAAAAGAGAGTTCAATCAAACTTCAAAATCGATGCAAAACGCACAAACGCAAGAAGACAATCATAATGAAAACGCAAAGAAAAAGAAATGACAAAGAAAGAGCGAGACTTACATCTGAGGCGTTGCTAATAAGTTCCCGAAGGAAGATCTCCTTGTTGCTGTAAAACGTGTTGATAATCAGACTGAGGAGCTGATTAATCTCAGCCTGGAAGGCGAACGTTTCGGTATCCGCCATTGTTAAAAACGAAGATCAGAATCGATCCAAGAACAACGGGGAAAAAATGTAAGAAATGGAGGCTTGAACAAGCAATTAACGTCTTGCTGATTGTGGAGGAGCGGCAAGCTTATATAGAAGGGGATTTCCGCTCTACTAGGGTTTCTGGAACCTTCTATCAGTTTGAAATTATGGCAATTATCACATTTCTTTTTTTCTTTTTCTTTTTTCTAGTTTAAAGTATTATTCCTTACCGCTTACGTGGCTCTTACGAAAAATCGAGAAAATGGGAGTTGGGAGAATCCAATCCAGGATTGGAGCAAGATAATCCGAATCCCAGCCACGGAAAGTCCGCAACCAAACAACCCCCTTGAGAAAAAATTAATAAATATTACCACATAAATTAAATTTTTTACCCATTTGCTATAAACGTATCTTCAAACTTTCAACTTATTACAATTATATTGAATTATTTGTATATTTTGAAATGATTTTAAAATGAATAAAATTATTTTTTGACATGCATAAAATCACTTTAAATATTTTAATAAATAAGGAAAATTAATTTTTATATTTAAAATTATAAGAAATAAATTCTAATATTTTTATGGTTCTCGATATCTAATTTTTGAGAAATGGTCACACCATTTTTTGGTTATTTTTTAAAATTTAGCTTAAAATTAATTAATAGAGCGTTATGAGCTGAGTGTAGAGAAAAGTCCATAATAACTTATTATGATTGGATGCTATGAGATCTATACGTAACATGTTTAATGCTCGATGACTACTACATTTCTTGTTCAAGTACTCGCTGAGTGCTAGTTGAGGTGAGGAGCGTTAGGAGCTAAGTGTCACGGTCTGATTGTGACACTGAGCCGTCACAGGAAAAATTTATCCTAAAGTATCGGCCTTTGTAATTTATTGGTCTTTTTTTTTTTTTTTGTAAGGTTTATATTTGTATCATAAACCATTTGGATCAAATCATTTGTAACGATTATAGGGTGGGCCATATCAACAATGTTATAAGGCACCTAATCTTATCCATATACTATAGACCCTTTAGGTTATTTATTGCACCCAACCTTATCCGTATACTATAGACCCAAGTTATTGCATCCAACCTTATTCATATACTATAGACCCTTTAGATTATTAGTTGAACACGATCTCTTGTATATCAATCACATACTATTCAAGATTACATTAATAACCTTGATTACAACAATAAAATTACAAATAAAATATTAAAAATTATGGTGAGAAACTAAATAATTAATTACTAGGCTTTAGGGCATAAATCCCCTCACTTTTTTTTTATCACATTTTAATATTTGAAGCAGTAAGGTTTTAGGTCACGTAGACTGGTCTTAAAACTTCGAAAATCGAGTTGAGACAAATTAGTATTAAAGCAGTCGGGTTGTCGTACACCTCTGAAACCCAACTCGATGACACACCCCATCACGAACAGGAATTTGATGCATGATTTAAGTTACACATCTCATACATTCAATTAGGATAACATCCCATGGTCAACGTTAACCCTACAATTAACAAGTTTGTGATTAATAAAAGGAATAATTAGATGGATGAGCTTAATTTATGATGAAAGATTAAAGGCAACCATTCATTTTTCTTTTACCTCCCTATATATAAACAAAAGTAATGGGAATGAAAAAGTACAATTGGACTTCAAAACAAAAGCAATGGAGTTTTCTTATATTATTTCTCCATTGCTTTTGTTCTTCTTTTTGCTTCATGCATCATCTGTTCATACCAAAAAGGCAAGCATTCACCTCTCTCTCCTTTATTTTCAAATGGGTTTCCTTTTTCTTTTCATTTTAATTTATAGTTCTTCTTTCTTCACGTAGTCTTATATTGTTTACTTGGGATCGGGATCGAGCACGTTTGGATCAAACCCGAGTATATACGATGTTCAACTTGCGACCGAATCTAAATATGATATATTAGGAACTGTCAAGGGAAGGTAAAAAATGTGCTCTTCAAAAGGTTCTATGATTTGATTAAGAAACTTATGATTAATGATTGTTTTTTATGTTTCTTATGATGTATAGCAAAATGGCAGCGAAAGAATCGATTCTCTATACGTATAATAGATGTATTAATGGCTTTGCTGCTGTTCTTGATGACAATGAAGTCACAGCTCTTGCAAGTAAGAGTTGTTGGTTTCTGTACGATGATGTTTTAAATGTTTTTTTTTTTAATTTTTTTTTTTTTTGTGTTTGCGAAATGTGACAGAGAATCCAAGTGTGGTGTCGGTTTTTGAAAATAGGGAAAGAAAATTGCATACAACACGATCATGGGGTTTTTTGGGGGTTGATAGTGGTCGAGGAATTCCTCAGAACTCCATTTGGAAGGCTTCCAAGTTTGGGGAAGATGTAATTATCGGGAACCTCGACACGGGTTTGCTCTCTTGTTCCTTCTTCGTTCTTTTTTTTTTATTTTTTTTTAATGTGGTTACGACGGTTCTATACATGTAATAGCTCTAGCTGATATTGTCCGATTTGTTATGTTATGTATCGTCGTTAGCCTCACGACTTTAAAATGCCTCTCTTGAGGAGATTTTGAGGGGAATGGTTCTACATTTGTAAAAGCCTAAGCCCATTTAAGTTCTTACAAATAGTATTTGAGTGGGTCATCAGATAGTGAGGCACTAGTAGGAGTAGGACTAGACCCTTCTTATAGTAGACACAGTTTTAAAATTGGGTATGGACTATTACAAATGGTATCACAGCCAGTCACCAATCATGTGAGGCACGAGTGGGAGTAGGGCTAGACCCTCCTGACAATATTAGCGGTGGGCTTGAACGGTTACAAATGGTATTAGAGCCGGTCACTAATCATGTTGACCCTCTGGGAGTCAAGCTACAAATGGTGTTAGAGCCTGTCACTAATCATGCTAGACCCTCTAAGAGTAGAGCTAGGCCCTCACTATAGAACATATTTTAAAATCGTGAGGTTGACGTAACAGGCTATCGAACAGTGCAAGGCACGGGTGGATTATGAAGTCTTACATCCCTTGGATAAGGGAACGAAACATTCCTTCTAAGAGTGTGGAAACCTTTCCTTCACATTTTAAAACATTAAGAGAGCCTGAAGTCTAAGAAATACAATATTTATTAGCGGTGAACTATTATTATAATATATGTGATGAGTTTGCGTGGGGTTCTATGAAGGCGTTTGGCCAGAGTCCGAGAGCTTCCACGATGCAGGCTATGGCCCTGTTCCTTCAAGGTGGATGGGAGCTTGTGAAGGCGGCTCCAAATTTCGATGCAACAGGTTCTTCCCCCACTTTAGCCTTAAAATCAAATTTACAAACACCCCATTTAACTAACCTTTACGTCTAGGAAGCTGATCGGAGCAAGATATTTCTACCGAGGATACGAAATGATCAACGGTCCTCTCAACATTAGCTCACTAAACGCACGAGACCATGAAGGCCATGGTACACACACATTGTCCACTGCCGGTGGCAACTTTGTCCAAGGAGCCAACGTGTTTGGCAATGGCAATGGGACAGCAAAAGGAGGCGCCCCCAAAGCTCGTGTTGCTGCCTACAAGGTATGCTGGCCTCAAGGCAAGTGTTCTGATGCCGATCTCTTAGCCGGTATCGAAGCCGCTATCAGCGACGGTGTCGACGTTCTCTCGATCTCTCTCGGTGCAACAGCTCAGGACTTTGCTAATGACCCAATTTCAGTAGGGGCATTCCATGCCATTCAACAAGGAATCATTGTAGTTTGCTCTGCCGGAAACGATGGCCCGCTCCCTGGGACTGTCACCAATGTATCTCCATGGATGTTCACTGTTGGAGCTAGTTCCATCGACCGAGGCTTCTTCAGTTACGTGTACCTCGGAAACAAGAAACAGATCAAGGGTTCGAGTCTTTCATCGGGAGGATTGCCTCGTGGTAAATTGTACCCTTTGATGAATTCTGTTAATGCAAAAGCTTCCAATGCCTCAGATGGACTTGCGTAAGTCGTAACATAACTAAATTATCTAAATATTTGCCTTTAATAAAAGATCAAACACTAAATATTCACTTTGTTCCTACAGCCAACTTTGCGAGGAGGGATCACTTGATCCCATGAAGGCAAGAGGGAAGATTATAGTATGTCTTCGAGGAGACAACGGAAGAATGGACAAGAGTTTCGAGGTTCTTCGTGTCGGTGGTGTCGGTATGATTCTGGTTAACGACAAGATCAGCGGTTCGGGCATTGAAACTGATCCACACATGCTTCCTACTTCACATGTAAGCTATATTGATGGCCTCTCCATCGCTCAATATTTGAAATCCACCAAGTAAGGACTCTCATCTATGTGCTTGTCTATGAGAAAATGAGAAGGGAATGGGCTGAATATGTAGTTTTTGTGTTGTAAATTAAACCAGAAGGCCTGTGGCTACCATAACTCCGGTAAGGACAGAGATAGGGATTAAACCATCACCTGTCATGGCTACATTCTCGTCAAGAGGCCCTAATCACATAACAGAGGCCATCATCAAGGTTGGTTTTTTAGTATCATGAAGTTTTGAGTATTTGAAAACTTCTCTCAAATGTTCGTGTATATGTTGGTGTAGCCTGATATAACAGCACCGGGTGTGAATATAATCGCATCTTTCACGAGAGCGGCAGCAGCAACAGACTTGCCATTTGACAAACGTCGAGTGCCTTTCAACGTTCAATCCGGCACATCCATGTCATGCCCGCACATCTCAGGCGTTGCAGGCCTTCTTAAGAAACTTCATCCTACATGGAGTCCTGCCGCTATCAAATCTGCCATTATGACTACAGGTTTATTAAATTCGAGAAAAACAAACCTTAATTTATATTTTATTTGGTCTTGTAAGACTTTGATTTTGTTATGCAGCCAAAACGAGAGACAACACCAAGAACACAATGTTGGACTTCAACAAAGTGAAGGCTACCCCATTTGATTATGGTGCAGGACTTGTCCATCCAAACAATGCCATGGACCCCGGCCTTGTTTATGACACGACGATTGATGACTACTTGAACTTCTTATGTACACAGGGCTATAACTCACTCACGCTCAAGAAATTCTCTAATAAGCCATTTGTTTGCTCTAAGAACTTCGCAATCACAGACCTCAACTATCCATCCATCTCGGTCCCCAAGTTGCAAATTGGGGCACCGGTGACGGTAAATAGAAGAGTGAAGAATGTGGGAAGCGCAGGCACGTATGTGGCGCGGGTGAGGATGCCCAAGGGCATTACAGTTATGGTTGAGCCAAGTACGTTGCAATTTCACGGCGTTGGAGAAGAGAAGCCTTTCAAACTTGTATTTCATTACGCACAACAAGTGCGGCGTCCTGGCTATGTTTTTGGGGCATTGGTATGGTCAGATGGGAAGCATTTTGTTAGAAGTCCTATTGCAGTGAATTTGGTATGATTAAATTTATAATATTGTAATCCAAATTCATTCTATTATCATATATATAAACTTTCCAAATTCATTCTATTTATCATATATATAAACTTTCCATGTAATGATTCCACTTTTTCGAGAATTTTTTTGAGCCACAAATAATGAACACTAACGCTATCAAGACTCTTTTCTTTCCCGCATTTCTTGTTGTTCAACTCGATTTCAAATTTCGAGGTTAAGGGCAAATTTACGTAAGGCAGAGTTTGGTTTTTTGGGATAAGTCACCCTTACTGCCACTCGACAGAACCGTACATGAAATTTTCACCTCATACGACATACGACTCCTCGTTCAATTCTTTTGAAGTCATTGGATCATTTTCCTTGTTCGAGAATCTCCTCCCTTCTTTCATTCTGTCCCGAAGAGTGACCGAGACCAATTCAGTCACGTTTTCATTCGTTTGGAATTTGGGCTCTTATAGTCATTTTTATTTACTTATTTTTCCCTTTATTTATTTTTTCTTTTTTTATTCTCTTTGATCATTCCTTAAGTCTCCGTAGAATCCGACCCATTTTTCCATGACCATCTATCTTATTAGGGATACTTTGATGTTCTAGCATTATTTGATTAGTTATTTATTAGTTTATGTGTTCATAATCATCCTATATATCACAAGTACTCGTGATGCGACCTCATCATGGTGAAAATTCATAATTTCATTATATAATATGGATGGTAAGTCTAGACAGATTCTCTATTAGTTGACGGTTCTCTGATTGGTTCCATAATGTCATCACCATTGAGGAGGTCTACCAACTACTATTTGTCCAAATGGTCTCTTGCCCCTCATTATTCGAACAAGTTCATGACTAAAAAATAGTTGGAGATCTCTATAGCTCCCGGAAATGGTAATCTTATGGCACTATTATAAAGTTCATACATCTCAAGACTTGATCGGTTAGAATAGTACAACACACACTCGTTCTAGGTGAAAAACAAAAGAGAGAAGACAGAAGGAGACCAAGAGTGTAACGTACAAAAAAAAAAAAAAAAAAAAT